TATAAGGAAGGTCTGTTCTAAAAACCTCATTCCCTGAATATCAACTCAATAATGGCAATTGGGTTATCTGGAGTCACTGTCTGCTCTTCTGAGATGTGTCACAATCCAGGAAGAGTTAAGCCTTTGTACCTACGTAGCAAACAAAGTACCAGCAGCAGCTAAATAGACAAATACATAAACAGTAATGTTGCAACTGCACTGGTCCCAACTGCCCTATAAAGTGATTCATTACTCGACTGATGCTATTCTCAAACTCTTTTTATTTTGTTTTTATTATTAATAGAGTCACAACTACCTGGGTATTTTAGAATATAACACTAGCTTCTTATTTCTGCTGTTTTAGGTTGGGTATAACTTTTAGTTTCCTCAGTGGTGGCAATGATTTTATACACTTTCACCCACTAGGGGCTACTTTTAGAACTCTATTTCTGAAGAGCCAGGGTAAAATTTCCTTTGGTCCTTTGTTTAAAGACTATATTAAAACATTCCAGGATGCTTTTATTTTTTTTCTTTTTGAATGTCAGCAACACGCTTGGTTTGATGCAAAGATGAGCGGGTTACACATTTCCTGCCTGTTTCTCACTGCACTGTCTAAACACTGAATCCCATCCTGAGATTCTGTAAATATGAAGTAACGTACGGCTTATTTTCTCATTTCATCTTCTTTTACTGAAACAGATGAAGATTAATCCTGGCCAAGATCACTAGCTAGGGGAGAAGGCTAGATGTAACATAAGGCTATGTTTGTGGTATAGAGTTCCTGTGTTTGCAGGCTGTGCGTTATGTAGGGCAAAACAATCATTTAATGATGTAATTTAGACCTCAATTACAGCCTGTGTGAGACAGTTGTTTATGTTTCAACATTCTTTGTTTTGCACAGGTGCAATAGGGCATCTACGCTTCAACTTGGATGCAGGAGTTTCTGCAAGGGAAAGTGATCGATCAGAAGAAATCCTGCAGGTTGCCATCTGAAGTACCTTTACCTGAGAGCATCTTCAGTGCTCCTTTTCTCTTAGATTATTATGGCTATCATCAAGCTTAAAGCAATAAAGGAAAAGTTTTATCAGTAACAATACAGTAACAGCAAAAATGCTGAACAAAACTCTACTTCTCTTGCACCTCTCATTGTGAGAGGTGAGACACAACTCTGAGTTGTGTCTGATAGGGTTAGATACCTTCTGTCGCCAGTTGAAGGACTTCTATGAAATGGCCTTGCACCTATTTTCAGCATGGCTGTGTCTGAGAAGTCGCAGCAATGTATCTGTGCAGGAATGAACAATACCAAACTCTTAACTTCCTAATGCTGACCTTGGTTGTCTTGTCCTACAAATCTCTTCCGCAACACAGTGACAAAGAAATTTTTTTCTGCCATTTTAGCAGCTGTGATTCTTGGGAACACAAGTTTTGTTTCTTTCCAAAAAATACAGACTGAAAATAGCAAGATGGTCCTGGTGCTTCTTAATCAAGTGGGTTCACAGAGCATGAAAAGAATCCTGTCTCTCAGAGCAGGTTGCTGGTCCTTGCTATTATAGTGATTGTTCTGAACATCCTAATGTTGCCTGCTTTCAGCTTGGCAGGCCTTTAATGAAATAAGCTGTTTTTCTGCCTTGTCCATAGGCAGTGTCAGTAACCACAGGTTTTATTTAAATACATGAATGTTCTGGAATCCATCACTCCTGCAGTGTGACAAAAAGTCAGGCTTAAGGAATCACAGATCACAGAATTGAAGGAGTTAGAAAGGACCTCAAAAGATCATTGATGGAGTCCAACCCTGCTGCTAAAGCAGATTCCCTACACATTTCACTGTAAATTACAGTAGTAATTTACACTTGCTGAATTTCCTGCTTTCTCACTCTCGATCTTTTAGTGCTGCTCCAACCAGAAGTCCTCTTGCATGTAATCAGTAACTTGGAAAGGAGAGAGGTTTGTTACTCTGACAGTGGGCCAGACCAGTGTCTGTGTTGTGAGTCCCATCCATGGTGAAACAACATTGTTTGTCATTGTAAAAAGGACGGTTTTTAGGTTTTTTTTCCCAATGCTCATTTGCAGTTGTCAAATTTATTCTGCCCTGTTGTATTAAATTATTTCCAATAATTTTGTGACAACATAGCTTAAAAATGGCAAAGGTCATAGGGGGTTTTTTTGTTTGTTGTTTTGTTGGTGGTGGTTTTTTATAAGAGCATCTGATTCCATCTCTTGGGAGGTTATTTAAAAAAATTAACAATAACCTTGAAAATAGAAAGGGACCACTTGTACAATAAAAAGCAAATTATTTATGGCAAAAATACTACCAACATTTGTATGACCCAGGATAGTCTGGAAAGGGAAGTTAAAGATGCACGTTATCCTTGTCTCTTGGTTTTTCCTACTTCACTGTAACAGTGATTTATGTATCTGCTGTCTTAGCCAAAAATGGGAAAAAATGGATTAGAGCGAGATATCACATGGCACAAAATCAGTTCTCCTGCTGCAGTTGCTCCTGTATGCAGGCAGAACCTCGGGCCAGATTCGTGCCAAGTCTGACTTCTCACCCAGAGGATTACGTAGCACTGCAGCACCACATGTCCATGCCAGCCTTAAGCAGGCTTTGCAGTCAAATGTAAATCTAGGCATTTGATTCCCACAGGTTGCCAAGAAGCTTATACACATGCCGTCTGTGACTGCAAATATATTTTGAAGCTTTCTACTGTCAGGAATACTTGGGAAGGAATATCTGTCTTGTTATCTGTTGGGCTTTATGATAATCAATTCTAATAATAATGGGTACTGTCTATTATTACCTTGAAGCAGTGAACTGAAAGCAAGCCCTACAATGAATAAAAGCTTAGTTGGAAAGAATTCTTTTGTTCTCACATGGGTTTGCTGTCATCTCCTGAAATGTTATTAATTTCCTTTTGGAAATTGCTACAACAATCAAAGCTTGATATTTTTGCCAGGCATTTGGTTTGAATAAACAGCTGTATTGATTTACAGAGATGCTGGGCCTCCTGCCAGTTGTTTCTTTGCACTGCCACTACGAGTATGAAAGGATACCTGACACAGTGTGCCCTTGACTATGCTGTATCTTGTCTGCTACGTCCTACTGTATTCACTTTCTTTCTGTTTGTGAAGGCTGGCCAACTGTTAAAGAATGTAATGATTTATGGTGTGAAAGCTGGAAGTGGCCAGCTAGTTCTTGGCTGGGTTCTTTTCATCCCAAACCCACATGTTTCTCAATCCCCCTGGGGATCCCAAGCGTTTCCTTCCAAGCTGTTTTAAGCATGAATCTGCTTCTCCATCTCTGCTCTTTAGATTTTAAAAAAGAAAATGCCTAGAAAATGCCTTTCTTGGAGACATTCCTTCAGGAGTCTAGATGAGAACAGAAACTATAATTAGAATGGAAGGCTCTGACTGAAGATTTAATACGTCTTTCCTTAAACAAGCAATTTTGACACTGAGAGTAGTTACAGTTAGGGGAATGCTGGCTGTAAAATCTAGTTAGAAGCTAGACAAATATGAGATGTGCCAACAGTGCTAGCAAAACTAGCTCAGTTGTGTTTGTGGGATGTGATGCCATAAGAATGTTGGTAGCATAGCCCGGAGGCTTTCTCCTGCCAGAGAGCTTTCAGTGCATCAAACAAGACATCCCAAGAAATGGTCTGATCATTTCTGAGACCCCTCAGAGGTTTAAAACACAGTCTGTGAATGAACAAACAGCCGGTTTTGGACATAGATGGGCATTAGAAAGGTATGGTACATGGAAGCTACTGAGGAAGAACTGCATTCCAATTTCTTTTGTTTGTTGTGATTCAGCATGTTAAGTGCAGACAGTAGCATCTGTTTACCATAGTGGCAACTGTCTCTTTAGAAAACAAGTAACCTGACAAGATAAATGCTGTAATGCAAATGTGATCTTATGTTGACTTCCAGTAAATTCTGGCATATGTTCAGTTAGTAAAGGGAAACAAATCTTTGTATTGTAGCAGACTTATGATTAACAGTCAGGATTAATGTCAGATTGCTAAGTTTTGTGATTAGTTAGTTGATTCTGCACTTGGAACTTTCTTTGTCTCACTCATTTGGATCTTTCAAATGCTTCAGATGGGGCAGGTCTGACCATCTGCAGAACCTTGCAGAATTTGCCAGAAGTGACAGTGCCTAAAGCAACATCTCCCTTTGTACTTTTGTCAGCTGATCCAGAAGTTGATTTTGAAGGTAGACAGCGCTCTTTGCTGCTCTGCCAGTGGAAATCCTCAATCTAGCTGACACGTTTTCCAATTGCTTCTGACACTAAACTACAGTAGAAAAGGACCTAGAATGTTGCAGCAGGATTTTGAGTCTGGGCTGGGTGCTGTTCCACTAACAGCTCGCCTTTACCCTTACTCTTTGTAGAAGCAGGAAAGCAAAATCATTTACAAAGATTCTAACACCCCCCACTTCCCCCTTGACTCCATCAGTGCTATACTCTTCATATAAATGCTTTTCTGGTCAGCAGTTGCAGTTTTCTGTGAAGAGTGAGTGTCCTCTTCCAACCTGGAGCCTAAGGTTCTCTCCCTGCTACTGGATGCCTGGAAGAAAGCAGAAGAACAAGGCGCATTTGTAGAGAGACTTATTCAGATATTTCCTCATCTCTATCTAATCTGTGGTTTAGACATCATCTAAATAATAGGAAGACGATGGTCAAACACATTGTTAGTGTGATAAGAATGAGGATAAATTTGAACTGTTCTTCTGTAGTTTGTAGTTTCTTTCATTTTGCCTAGTGTCTCCTTCAGGTAGGTGCAATGGAAGATCAAATGCATGTTTCTGTTTTGTGGTTGTTCATTTGAGGGTGGGGTTTTTTTCAGTTCTTTTGCAGATTTCCTTCTCTTGCTTATCTCAGACCAGCACTGGTCTAGGGAGTGCAAGTGAAAAAGCACTGGTATCAAAGTGTGCTTCTTTACAAATGTGATAAGCAGTAGAAAAATAGTATGCTCCTGAGATTTGTAACAATATGGTTTTTGTTCCTTCTATTTTTTCAGAATTAACTTATGCATTTCTGACCATCTCCAAGATGCTGTAATCCTTAAGTCCCTCTAGCTACTTACAAATTGTATTTTGGAATGGAGCCTGAAAACTGAGGGGGTCTTCCACATTCAGGTATGAGCTTTTTTTTAATGCTGCCATTGCTCATTTACCTGAGTTTTGTCACAGGCAGTAAATGCTATACATTGTCTTACATAGATCAAAATCTTCATAGCTGGTCCAAAAGATCCACGTTTTCAGATAAAGATCTCATTTTTGGGTGAGTGGACAGCTAGGGAATCCTGACAGAGTAAAAGAACAAATATGCCAAAAGATAAGTAATTATCCTCAAAGAATAGCTTGTAAGTCGACTTAAGCACGTCAAAGGGATTAAGTAATGCAGTGTTTACCACCATGTTCATGTTTCTATATTGCTGACACTGAAATCAGAGGCTAATTAGTCAAGCAGCTAGTTCATAGTTTTCCTAAGAGTGAACGGATGAATCTTGTTTACCTTCAAGACAATCAAGTTGAACAGATGCTTCTGTCAGAGATATTTTAATTAGACTTACAAATCTATCTAAATTCTCCCCCTCTCCAACCTCTTACAAAATGGAATCTGCATTGTGGTCTTCAATGTACAGTCATGTTCTCAGCTTTATTCCCCCCTTCTAAAGGTTAAAAATGGAAAATAGTGCATTTAACAAGTTGGCATCAGAAGCACACTGCTTGAGATGTCTTTTTTTCTATGCTGGAATTCTGCAATTATTTTTAATAGCTGTGCCACTGGTGTCTTCTGCTGTATTTTGAGAAATCATTTGATGACTGAAATGTAAACATTAAGCACTGAAAAAATTTGGCCTCAGTAAACTGATCACATACATGTAATTTTTGCTTTCTGTTCTGCATGTACATCTTGTGAAGAAGATGGCCAGTAATCCTCGTGTATTTGTATTGCATACTTCTAAAGGAGTTTTCTTGTTTGTCTGATGCAGATTGCATTCCTCAGAGAACAACAAGGGCCCGTAGGGAGCAGATTGACACCTCTGACCCTTGCTGAGCAGGCTGAGGTCATTCTAGGGGTCGTGTTTTGATCTTCTCCTTCAGATCAGCACGGAGTGGAGGGGATTAAGAGATTGTTTTCTGCAGACTGTGCAAGGGGTTCAATACTGAGGACAGCACTGGAAAGAATGTTAGTCATTCCCACTGACTGCTATGGGAAATCCATAGGATCACTGCATCAAGTGCTGGGATTGCTAGAGAGTCTTAAGATAGAAGGAGTCTCTGGCAAGGTGTATTTTATCTAGCTGTGATATTTCTACAGAAGATGCTATTTTACTGCATATTGATTTAAGATGTGTATTTCATGGAGGATTGACATATTTGCTATATTTTTTTCCAAGTGATTTATCCAATAATCTCAAATTTAGATTAAAAGAAAAATGTTAAGCATTTCATCCCAAGTTTTTTTCTTGCCATTCTTTTTGCCCATGTAAAACTTCATTTGTGGCTCTCTGGATCACAGCATTTAAAGGAAAAGCAGCTTGCCCTATAAATTTCTATCAGTCCCAAAGCTTGCCTTAAACAACTAACTAACAAAACTTTGTGCTTGAGAGTCAATTCACTCGACCTACCAGTATTAAAAAGCAGTATCAAAGAATGGTTTGGGCTTGAATAAAATCAGTGCAGAGAAATCAATTCTCCTGGGGCACAACTTAGAGCCCAGACTCTGGCGTTGTTCTCTACATTGGCAGCTGAGTTCAAAAGTCTGTTCTCTCTTCCTAAGTTCAGCCTGTCTAAGGCAAAGGACACACCCCCACAGCAGTGATGCAATATAGCCACAGGAAAACTGCATTCCTCCAAGTATTTAGCTGTGGTGAGAAGCACAGTTTATTAGACAGTGATTTCAGGACAACGCAAGTTTTCCCACTTCCAAGAACAAAAATGGGAAGGTGTTACAAAAGGTAGCTTTAAAGTTATTAGAGGCCTATGCTGCTGCCTATCACCACAGAATGTAAACATGTTCCATGTACAATAGCTTTGCCTGTTTGCTTGATCTGTTACATCAAAGGAGTATTCTTTTTCTTCCCTTCACATACTTACAAATGGGAAATATAAATCATGTAATAAATTGGTAGCTTATGCAGTTGAAGAATTACTATATTGGGCTCACTGTGCTTTTTTTGCATCAACTCGTGTGCCTTAGCCAAGGAGTGCTGTTCTTTAACCGTTTCCTCTTTCTACATCTCTGACTAAATTGCAACTTTACAGTTTGTTCATGCAGAAAAAAAAAAAACCCAAACAGTCACTACTTCCACATTGGTTCTAATCTTACACTAGTGAAAATCTGAAGTATGAGATTAAGTTATGAAGTTATTTTCTATTTTACTTCTGTCTTAAACAGATGGATGGCACCACCTCCCAAGGCTAGGGCTAGAGAACCTTTTTTTTTTTCTCTCCCTCTTATGATTTCAAAATGAAGCCACATCAAACCAACCCCAAATACCTGTCTGCTGACCAGAGCTGTTAAGTTCTGGTGCCAGGGAAATGAGCCTGGCCTGACTGAACTAATTAAGTTGGCCAAGGCACTTGAGGATAGCTTAAAGATGAGCATCAGTGGGAAAAGCAGGGAGTAAAACTACCTTCTTATATATGCACATATTAAAGGAAACAGGCTGCTTGAAAAACATGGTGAGTGAATGGCACCACAGGCTGTCTGCTAAGAGAGCAGAGTCTGGAAGTGAATGAAGATGACTTTTTATACAGCAGTCCTCGAAGAACAGAAGGATTGATTCCTCCCTGCTCTCCCTTCATTATAAAATTACTTTCTGCTTAGATTCTAAGAAATGATACTTTTAGTTTCTGAAACTGTTTTGCAATAATGTTGAGGGGATTATTGGACCATCCTAACGCAAATTATCTTCATGAGCAGATCTAAGTGGTAAATAACCTTCTTCGTTTACAAGCAGTTAAGCTATACTGGCTTGACTCTGTAGTTGTTACTGTTGCTGCTAATTTTGTGTGCTTTGTTGAATATGCTCCACGTTTAATGCTTTTCTGTTTCCACAGAAACAAAGCAATGGTTGAAAAAATGGAACTGACAGCAACTAAGAAGCTCAAATTTCCACATCTTCCTTCCTTGACATGCTTTGAGGGTGCTAAGATACTTCAAGAGATACGGTATGTGACAAACAGAAGTCTAAGCTACCTGCTATTTGTTGCTAGTGCTGATAATTCCATCTTCTTAGAAGTCCAGCGTGAGTAACCATCATTTTCCTACTTAAAATTTCTCTGCATTTTTAGTTGGATGTGTTTGTTACGTTGTGAGTTAAACTATGCAGTTTAGCACTTGTCAAACAGCAAGGGCCAACTCTTAGCTCTGTTTTGGATGAACTGTCTCTCAGAAAAAGGAGAGAGGGAATGTTTTGTAGGGCTGCTCCATAGTGTTCTTCATAGAGTCCAGTACACATGTTCACTGCAGTGAGAAAGAAATACAGTGGGTTGCAGCTAGTTGAAATTTGTTATGTGATCAATTGCTGTGAGGAAACAGCCTTATTAGACTTCAGGTTTCATCTCAATTTGTCTTACAGAAGTTTTGTTTTTCTCTATTCTGAGCTCGTCCTGTATGAATGTTGTACTATTGAGTCCTTACAAAGAAAAGAGGTTTGTTTACTGCATTGAAAACAAGTATGAGATGAAGAAGAATGGGTATTTTTCAATATTACATGATTTTTTTTCTATGTCTGACTGGTGTCTTAACCTAAATAAGGAATGCGAAGGGAATTAATAGTGAGTATCTCTAGGCAGAGGTGTTTCAGCAGTTGGATCATTATTTTCATACTTAGGAGACCAAAGTCCATTCTCTCATGAGTATGCCTACAGTGGGCAGGTGGTTTCACCTTTCTGTGCTTCAGCTCCTCAGTTCTGCACTAAGGCTAATTGCATTGCCTCATTACAGCTTGCTGTAGGGGAGCACCAACCTGATGTATTTTGAAGGAGATGTGGGCGGGAATCATTGCAGCCATGGTGCTTAGTATGTATTTCTTAAAGAAGGCACTGGACTGTTGCTCTAGCAAAGGCTGTGACACTTATTCCACATTCCACTCAATGAACTTTCACTTAACTGCTCAGAGAGGATGCAGGAGAGGGAGAAATTCTTGTTTAAGGGACTTGAAGGAGTTAGCTTGCATTAGGGGCAGAGTGGTGGGGTGTTTGTTTTTTTCCTTGTCATTCCCCCTCCTCCATGGAAAATACTGAGGATTATTTGCATGTGTGTACACAGTGGGAGAAGATGCCCAGCTGGGATCCAAGCATGAATGAAACAGAGCTTGCAGTTCAAAGCCGACACAGTCTTGAATTCTTGCTCCTAGGGAAAAAAAAAAAAAAACAACTTCCTTTATTTGTTACTTTACTAAAAAAAGAAAAAATTGAAATTAAAATCCCTCATCTTCCTTTTAAAAAGTGCATGCATTTCAATAATTTAAATCAGTACACTTCCTCCAGGAGAGGAAGAGAGGGATATTCCTTTTTCCCAAAGCCTGTTTTTAATCACTGGCTGAATTTTGAGACAATCTCTGAACATTCAGCACTTGTGGTCAGTTTTCCCCACCCAAAATGTTAGTGGTTTTTGCAGACATTCCATAAACACAGGAAGCTTTGACTGTGTCTCTAACAGATAGAGAGACAGAAAAGCAAAATACCCATTATAAAGGCTAAGTCTAAACTTGACATGCCAGCTCAGAACAATGATTTATGCAGTCCAGAAGTCTGTCTCTGATAGTCAGAGACAGATGTTTCAAGGAGAATACTGAATATTTGTAAAGCACAATTCTGACAGAACCTGCCTATGTTCTTTTTTAATTTTTAAATATTTTTTTTAATTACTGAAATCCTCCCTGAATCGTGGAGCTTTATACTCTGAGTCTATATTTTATGTCTATTTATTTGAAGAGGGGAAAGGGGCAACATGGAAGGCTGCAAAAGTGTGCTGTGCAGAATTCCCTTGGTGTTTTGGATTCTTGATGATCTCGTGGCCATTAGGTCCTAATTTGAATCTGCTAAGTTTTAGCCTTAATTACACCTGCAGAAATTTCGTAGATTGAACATGTTTTATCCGAGCGTTCTGTTCTGTTCATTTTAGAACTTCCAGCACCTTACGTAACGTCTGATTTTCCTTTTAACGTGGGAATAGCCGAAGAGAAATTGCTGTCTTTTTTTTCCCTGCACCATTTATTGTTTTTATATAATCCAGTTGTTGTTAATCTCCTTCTTAAAACAGTTCCTTTCACCCTTGCGTTTTTCAATGAGAAATCTTTCCTTTAGTCACTTTCTTCACCAGCCTCAACTTTGCTTTTGCCCACCAATACAGGTGGATACACACCTTTCACTTTAGAAGAGCATTTTAATTTTATAATATTCTTTCCCATTTGAGTTTTAATCTTTCTGACCTCATCAGCTGCACGAATAATGATTTAGCAGAACTCCCCACCATTAGCCCATATCTTTCTCATGAGCAGTTGCATTCAGTAACAAATAGCTGGAGTTCAGAACACTTTTTGCAAGGTACATTACTTCACTCTGTTAGTCTACGTTTCTCATTTCTACCCATTTAAAATTACAGGAGAGGACATGAAATCTCTAACAATTTCTGATGGCTTTTGTGAGTAGCTGTTGAAATAACTGAATCTAAAGGGCTTTTAATCATACATTTTGAATTTAGGATTCTGAATCACAATAATTTCGTATTATCTAGAGACAGTGTTCTTTAGACAAGCTTCCTCATTTTGAGTAATTGTCTTTAAATTCTGTGGTTTAATATGATTTCTCCCTTAGCAGTCAAACTGGAATACAGCGTCCCCATTGTCAGCCTGTTTGCCTACAGAAACTCCATTCCAGAATTTCTTGTTCTGTAGAGGGAAAAAAGAAAAAGTAACAATCACTAACAAATCAGACCAAAAAAATACTGATTCTGATTCCAGCAAAGTGGAAAAAAAAAATAGTAGTAGGACTTTCACCTTAATGCTGATAATCTTAAAATAGGAATCAAAGCACATGTTTTAAGTTTGTCATAAAATCATTTTGTAAAAATGCATCCGATGGTAGAGGCAGATGTACCCACATGCAGAACTTTAGCACAGGATAGTGCTAAAATTAACTAAACAATTAAAATCCCAAACTTCCCTATCAAAAGTTCCTATTGCAGCTCCACCAAGAGAGGACTGCTTAATTTTAGTTTAGATTTGTTTTACCCTAACCACTGCAGAAAGTATATTCTATTGTACTCTACTGGTATAACACTTAAGGCACCTCATCTCTCTAATCCTCACTGCATCACCCATAGCTTAAGTTCAGATAAACTCAAGGTATCATTATCAGGGTCCTGCTGGAAGCAGTTGTATTCAGTTTGGTCAAGCTGTTCATTAAAATTTTATTTACTTTCTGTTTAAAATCTGCCTTTAGTGTATCCCTGCCCTGTCCATTTGTGCTTCCTCTTACAAGTTTAGGCTGAAATCTGGAAATTCCTACCCCTCTGAGTAATGAATAAAGATGTAATTCCTCTCTGCAAGCTCAGCTTCTTTGGATCTGCTTTGAAATTAGCCCAGTTTCCTGGCCCTTAACATATTTTACTAAACTTGCTTACATGATGGCTTTAACACTGGGTGCTCATTTTTGTTTCTAACCTTACAACAGATATCATATGTGAGTAAAGAAATGCCTTGTTTTACCAACTGAGGTTGGCTTCAGAAGCCATATTGTGCTCTGTTTATTTACCTTTGTTTGTTTATTTTCATTGTACTGATCAAAAGCTTGGGGTTCCATGGCCAAATGTCACCTGTGTTGGTGTTACAGACAGATATTGGTTCCTTTTCTTAAAAATGACTGGAAGGGGGACTATTTATCTTTTAATCTTGACGTTATAATTAAGCATAGATAATTAACTACAAGATCGTAACGACTTTATGGCAGTAAGGGACCAGTAGGAATAACTATTACAACAACTGTCAATGCTTCTATGCTGTGTTTACAAGATTAATATACAACCACAAAAATTTGTTGCAGACAGAAACTTGGCATTAAAACAGGAAGTCCAGGATTTTTTTTTTTTGTCTTAAACTTGCATTTAACCTATTTGGTCGTTTTAAAGTAGGAAAAAGACTTTGTGGTTGTTTTAAGATAGACATTCCTGACATCATTCTGCTTTCAGAGTATCTATGGAATTAATGGAGGCCACAGGACTCTGCCCCCTACTTTGCCCCCATTCTGCCTCTCCTCAGCAAACTGTTGTGTTTTTTTTGCACTCCATCGCAGCCCATGACAGGGACAGATAAAAGCATACTTGTGTTTATTCTTCCTCATTTTTCTCTTTCGTTCAATTAGGCATTTGCAAAACCCTGTAACTAGTGATGCTCACTGACTTTTGATAGCAGAGAGTTTCTTTGAGAACTTCTGGAAAATTTCACCTTAGTTTTGTATTCTGTACACAGTGAGTGCTTTCTATGCCTACATGCAGTGTCTACTAGGCAGCCTATGCTGTCCTGAAAGCCACCTTTTTTTCCCCCAATCATTTTAACTCTTGCAGCTGATAGATTTCCAGCTCTTCCTGAAATAAGTGGCCCGTTGTGAAGAGAGTAGCAGCAGAAATTGTTCTAGTCATATTTCTGCTGGTCTGGGAAATGAATGTTTAGCTTCTGTCTGGCCAATACCTCATGACTTAAACAATTTTAACGTGATAAGGGAACTCAGAGGAAGAGAGGGTATTTGGAATATAAAGAATTAGGACGTCAAGAAAATACTTTTAAGTTAGTGAGAGATTAAAAAAAAAATTAGGAACTCTTAGTTCTAAATAGAGAAAACATTGAAGTGTAACAGAAAGGGTATTTAGGAAAGGAAGCAGCTGTGCTCTGAATGGAGAATCCCCTGAAGGTTTTGTGAGCTGCAAAATGCTGTGCTGGCAGAGAAGAGGCCTCACTGAGTGACTTCTTCGTTTTTCTTTTCATCTCAGGTGTCCAACTTTGCTTTAAAAATAAGCAGTGTAGTTCCAGTACTGCATAACATAAACCGTGAGGTTTTTTAAGTTCAAACAAATAGCTGTGAAGGAGCAAAGAATCCACTGTTCTCAGTCAGAGTTTCGTTTTGTGCATTACCTGTGAACGTAGGGTATTAATTCCTCTCTTACGCTGTCTGTGATGCAGGATGGGATTCTGTTGCCCTAAAATCTTAGAAAACAAATGCATTTGGTGA